GCCCCAAAGTGGAGATACAAGGACTTCCTGAAACAACATCTCAGCCTTGGCCATATTGATCTTCATCACTGGTCTACTCTGGCCTCCAGTCAGGAGGTCTGGAGACACACCATCTATAACGCTGTTGCTTCTTTTGAGAACACACGCGGGACTACTCTTGAGGAGAAACAAAACGCAGAAAGAACCACATCTTGTCAATAGCACCTAAGGAGTCTTTCTGCTGTGCCTTTTGCAACCAGACTTCTCTATCTTGCATTGGCCTTTTTAGCCACCAGGGCGCTTGTAACAAATGCGGGTAGAGCCCCTCCCAAATCTTCATTCGTGAAGCCTAGCCATGACTATAAATCCGTATTGTATGGTAAAATATTAAGCCTTTCAACTGATGATTCTAACAGTAACTTGGTCGCTTTACTAAATTCCTGATACTCAGCTCAGAAGCGCAGTACTGGCTGTAGTTTGGTTCTCTGGCAATAGGGAGACAGGTTCTTCCAGCCTGCCATGCTTAGTCACAAGGTGTTCACATCCATTTCTTCAGAGCTACCACACAGTGATAGCACATGCACTCATGCACTCATTCACTTTCAGTAACATCAGTGTTATGCAGTTTAGAAGTCAGCAGGTTTGGGTATAATGGAGTAATTATGGCTGGGCTACAGACTGAACATGGAGTAAGAAGACAGATCTCCTGTCTTTATGGCTGTAGCGCTGTTACTCTGAATGGAGGTTGAGGACCTCACAGAGTTAGAAAAACGTTGTCAGCATCCTTTGTGGTGAGGTCAGGAATTTCCTAAGATTTTCATTTATTCATATGAAGATTTAAGCCCTTTATTAAAACAGAGTAAGATAAGCTGAATAGGAAAGAAATAATTACATGGTGTTTCTTCATTTTCTAATAGAGGTTGCTTCTTTAGGAATATCTAATTTTTCTAGTTAAAATGGCTCTTGAATACACGCAAAACATCTCCTAGACTAAAATATAATTTGTCGATTTAAGTACTAAAAACTATATTGCACTCTTTTCTTTTAAAGATCAAACTGTTCTATAGATGAGGTCAACCTGGACAAACAAAGTAAAAAAATCTTAGAATATTTTAACAAGATTTTGCTTTTTCAGCCTCTCTTTTCCAGTGTTTTTTAACTCATTGTTTTGATATTTTATACTGTTTTTAGTTCCTATTACAAATAAAACTAATTGATATGTGAATTCAGCCAAAGAAAATGTTTAACTGGTGACTAGTGTCCTGGAATGATCTGCAGCATAAGTGAAGTTATGTGTTTTCTGATGATGCACATAAATTTTCAGGACCTCAAAATTATGGCTGAGCTGACTGGTGGATGTGTGGAATATGTCACAACGTTCCACGGAAGACCTGAAGATAGCTGTTAATTAGAATAGGCAGACTCTCTTGTTACTCTTTCAAAAATTAAGGTGGTAGATTTTTGTTTTCCTAAGACATAGCTGATTAACTGCAAGACTTCAGAAACAGTTGTGAACTATACTTTGCAGTTGGCACAGAACACATGAAGTCATGGGTAATTTTTCATACTATTTTCCTGAAAATCAATAGAAAAACTGTTTGCAAAAACAGTTGCTTACACTGTTAATTGTTAACCTACTTTTTCTAAATAATTCTTATATAAGAATATTTCACAATGCATAATTTTACTGATACATTCTGCCATTTTTTTAATCTACACAAATAATGGCTTTAAAGTGGACTTGGAGACAGGAGTATTAAAGGACACTGTTCTGCTAAAAAGCTATATTTATTGGAGTCTATCCTCAAGGAGTTCACAGTAGTTACCCTCATATAAAAATCTGATATGCAAGTGAGAAATTAGTTTTATGTATTTTGCCCTGGATCTCACATCAGGTATGACCTAGTCACAGCTTTATGTAATTTATCATTTCAATAAGGCATGTGAGCATTTCCTGGAATACTTATATAGTAAAATCTATAATGTATAGTAATTTATAATCACAGTTAAACCAGTATGATGAAAATGTATTTATAGGAGTGAAAAGTATTTTTCATTTTTGTATAGATATACCCTGAATGAAGCAAATTTGCATAACTACATGCAAGGTGGGTAGATGGAAGCTTTTTCCTACAGTGGTACATTCACACTGATGTGCCTGCAATATGCAGACAAACCTTAATTCCATGTTATATCACTCTGGCCTGTAGAGTGGTTGCAGCACATAAATAAAACTAATTTATAAAGACCTTGAGGCAACCCTTTGGAGAGGAAAATTAAATCTTTTATATCTTGCTATACAATACAACTTGCGGTTTGTAAGTAACCGTTGAATACCACAATAGCTGGAAAATGTTAAATCAGCCAGACCACAGTCATGGGAAAAGATGCCAGAGTAATAAATGTGTCTAAGATTGTGTATTTGGCGCACAACGTCATCAGTTTTGTTTATTAACTCTTATCTGGTTTAACAATCACGAAAGAGGACGAGAATTTGTAGGTTTTGTATTGTGATTAGGTTTACGCTTCTGAATCTGTGGACAAAGTTGTAACTGAGCTGAATTTTGAATCTGTGGACAAAGTTGTAACTGAGCTGAATTTTTTTGTTTGTTTCCAGCCAAAATTTGTCTTCAGTCAAAATCTCATATATAATCTGAAGTCTATTTAAAAAATTCATCCAAGACAAACTTTATGTTTAAACGTATTTAAACAGAGAAATATTAGAAAGTGATGCCTTGATCCATGCCATTGCATAGTAATACCATTAATGTCCTTGCCATTCTAAAGCATAAAAAAGGAAAAACATACCAAGCATAAGAATAAATAACAAACTTCCTGTCTCTATACAGATACATTTGTCATAGGAAGAAATGATACATATTTTCAGAAGCAAGGATAAGCTAGTGGTGTATTTTTTTATGTTATGTGACTAGTTATGTTTTCAAAATGTAGGCATACCTTTAATAAACAGCAGCTCATGTTTTTAGCAGGAGCAGTTATAAAAATATACCATCTTAATATTTACCATTAAAAAGCTAGATGACAACACTTCTTTTATTTAAGTGAGAGGTATCATAATATATAAAAATAAATGATTTGATTGCCATTACACCATAATCATTATGCTGCTACGCAGAGAAACATTGCTGGAAAGAAATATTTATTTTAAAAATGTTGGTGAATATGTTGTTAGTAAAAACAAATGCACAGATAAAATAGGAAATAGGAAAACCCCCTGAGATGCAGCAAAGCTTACCTGACCACTTCTCAGCAGATCTGCTGCTTAGCTGTCCAGTGCCTGTGAGTCCCTGAAACAGCGAGACAGAATAAACTCAGTGTAACCATCATGTAGCCTACTAAATTCACTTAAACACTTCAAACGACAAAACATACTCATCATAAACTATTCAAAAAGAGCTAGCATGCAACTCCAGCTGCAAGAGATTTTGTTCACAAACTGAACAGCAATCGGCCTGTACTTTAGTCTCATCAAAAAAGTAAACCAATCACATTGACAAAAAGCCACTGTAAACAAAAAGACTGTATTTAAAGGATAAACAGTTTTGGCATCCCTACCATCAAGTCTTCTGTTCTTTTTTTTTTCTTCATCAAAATTTAGGTTATATATTTGTTGTTAGCAAGAGTTGCATTACTATTATTGTTAATTTTAGTTCTGTTTATTACGTTGAGGGTTATATATTGTAGAATAATTTTGTTGTCACTAGTTAATGTTAATTAGTTGTTTTAATAGCCTATATACCTATTTGTTATCTTTTGGTAGGTTTACTTTTTTAACTATCAGTAACTTAATAACTGAGAATATTTTACATTACTGTTGCATACTCAAAATTACAGAGTTACTATTAGTGTTACCTGTTTAACGTTTAGTCATCCTTTGAGTCCTGCGACATATTTCCTTAATAATCATCAGCCATCAAGTCTGATAGTCTCAAAAGAATATCAGCCCTCTAAACTGCCTTCAAGGGCGGTGATATTTAGCACTGAAAATTACAAATAAAGTTTTTGAAGTTGAGTACCAACAACTGGGCAGTGACACTGATGATTTGTTTATCAAGACAAATTGTTATATACTACGAAAAATGCAGTCAACGCACTCTTCTGAGTGAAAACAAATAGGTGAATCTATGCAATGCTTACATGTTGAATGGGATATTTAATGTGCGGGGAAACTCAAAGGTTGAAGAACTAGCATTTAGACAGTCTAACAGTGGTAAGTGGTAATCTTACCTCTTTAAACTCCATTACATTCTCACGAGAGACATGCTAATACAAACAAGTCAATCAGAGTTTGTGTTTAGCAAGATCAAGCTTAAAGGATAGTTTAAAATCCATTTATTGTTCTAAAGCATTTTTTTCCATTAACATGTTATACATTAGTGGATACTAACCATGATTCATGTAACAGTTTAGTTTGTTAACTTTTAAATTATTTAACAACCAGAAGTTATTAATACAACTTTTAAAGTCTTACACAAAAAATCTTAAAACAGGCTTGGGTTCATTTTTGTAATTTTTATATAAAAAACATTTTAGGCATCTCTTGAAAAAGAAATAAAGCAGGCATTTAAAGCTAGAAAACAAGTAATTCCAAATTTAGTTTGTTACAAAAGGTTTCAGCTTTATTGACAAATTATGGCAAACATATTTGACAAAATTATGGTTTCCTATTTAGAGAAGCTTACACATGGAACTTTAAGTGATTTTTTTAACAAATACAGGTTAAAACACTGAACAACTTCAGTTAGCTACATACATACAGTAGCTGCTTGTTTTCAACCCCATTAAAACAGCATTTAAAATTAAATTTACAAACTGAATATCGAACATCTTAATCTAAACTAACATATATTAAAAAAGACAGGTTAAACATCTTATCTACAGCTTGATTATTGTCTGGTTCAAAAAGAAAAAGGAAAAGGAAAAAAATAATCATATTACAGTCTTTTAGCAACCCTAAACAGAAACTCAGCCTTAGCTAGTATGTAGAGACTCGAGATCTGTAACAGTGTCATGCTTTTTAAGTTACACACAGCAATGAATACAACCAATAGAACATCATCTTTGAATAGTTTATAGACAATGTTTGCCAAAGGATTTTTGTCTGTTTTTTTAAGTCCGTGTTATAAAATAATACTAATGCCAATGTCACGCCAATGTTATAGGAAATACAAGTAGTACATAGGATAATAATGAGCAGTAATCCCTAGGATAGAAAAGAAATGGACTATTACTTGTCTTGTTGCTGTTTATGTGGAGACCACAGGCTATTAATTGTCTTTGAGATGAGGTCACAGATGAGGAGGACCTTCAATATCTACCATAGGGGTGTTCCCTGTAACCCCCTCTGGCTGACCTTGGAGGTGGTGCCTTTAGGCTGGAACGGGTTGTGGCCCATTCTTCTTGTGCTAAAAACAGAAGAGAAAAACAAATTTTGTAAATATCTAAAACTGAAAGAACAAGGGGATGCCACTGCTAATGGTTGTCAAAATTCCTGAATGTTTTGTCTGAAACCTTTATAAAATTAAAATGAGGATGGTGTTATCATCCATTGCTTTACCCTCCTACAAAAACTTACAGAAAACTAACCTACTTCTCTACACAGGCAATCAGTCTATCTCAGGAAGAAAAAAGTCTTACACCTTCACTTTCAGCAGAGAATGAAAAACTACTGTGGTGATGGTACAGTCAGCTCTGGAAAAATTACTGTGTAAGTCTACCAGTTCAGAATTTATTTGATGCTTTGAGTTTCTAGCATTTAAGTTAAAGCACAAATTTGAATAGCATTTAATGTAATTGGTATGGTAACAAGATGAGAAGTTGAATCATGAAAGGATAAGAGAGGTATGTTTGATTTTTTACTTCCATTTGAGATGAAAAGAAAGAAAATAATGGAAGAAAAACAATGTGTAGCAGTGAACCTACTGCATTAAGCAAAAAGAGATTTTACTTTGCATTATCTTTAGAATACTTTTTCAAATTCTGTGAATGAAATATGCTCAGAAAGATAAAAAATCTAGTTCAGTTCTTACAAAGTTTTTATAAATCTTCTCCTCCTCCCTGACAAGCTTCCTTATTTTGGAAGCTAACTCTGAGCAATCAGGAAATTACCTTCAGTTGTGGTCTAGCAGTTGAACCCAAAACTTGAATTCTCTCCTAAATCAGCTAGTGGATTGTGAAATGATTTCTGGTTTTGTCTTCCACTGACTTCAACTGATCATACAGAGTGATTAAAATGGAAATGCAGAAACCATAATGTATCATCGATCTTATAACACATCATTGTGCAACATTCCTAGTATCTTGTTTTTGCTAATGACAGCTGATTTATGTGGCCACTAAGAAAATAATTAGCTGGCACTAGACAAAAATACTAAATGGTTAAAAGAGGTATCAAAGATTCCTTTTGTAAAATGATAATGCTATGTGAAAACAGAAAAATGAAAATATAAAACATAAAAAGCCTGTTAAAATTCTGAAAGCTATTTCTTCTCTGTAAGATGTCTTCTTTGCAACTACATTTTGTTATCTTGTTGCCTTGCGGTATGAGAGGAAAGCACAGAGTACGAAGGAAAAGCAGCTATACAGCTTACAGTGAGGCTCAGGTTGCATGTATTAGGAGTGGACATCTCTGGAGAAGATTTGGTAGCAGCTGATCTTGCTATGGAACAAGAAACACTCCTGTTGTGATTTTTTGGTGCACTCCATTTATTTTCTTTTTCTTTGAGCTCTTCAGGATGTTCTCTTGTTGAATATCAGGGGTTTTATGGTCACATGAAACCAAGGTTTACTGTGGAAAGCTATTGCCTACAGGGCTGAAGAAGACGCAGCCAATATGATATAGTTCTAAATCCTCAGGTTTCTCATTCCTAGAGGGAATCAGTTTCCATACAGTGAATTTAAAAATCCTCCCTCTGCAATATGTTTCATTACTCCCTTTAAAAATGGCATTTTGCTGTAAATTTGCTGCAACTTCAATTACCCTTTGCTGAAGTGTCACTGCATTTGCAGAGAGGCCTCGGGGAGAAGTGAGATTTATATGGAAAAGGAGAAGCTTTATTTATATAAATGAAAACGACTGAAGTAGTAAAAATACTCACTAAATGTACAACACAAAGACAAACCCATTTCTTGTTCCCTTTCAGTCCCCTCACAGTCATCTGGACAGAAACACCTTCATACAAAGGTGAAATGTGCAGTATTTTTGGTAGTCCTCATGCAGTGAAAAATGACTTTATATTACCAACTGGAGGAAGCTCTTTTTTCCTTGACTGTTCTTAAACCAAATTGCTGCTCTTGATAGAGTACAAAAACAGAATTGTAATTTGTGGTACAGGTCTCTTTTTCAGTAATATGGTGGACCTATTGCTTGATTTCAAACTTTAACACCATTATCGACACCATGGTTGACAGCTAACAGCTCCTGTTGATATTGCACGATAGACCCTAGTGTACTAACAGGTGAATCCATAGCCAAAACACAGATGGAACTTTTGGGATTACGGCCTTCAAGTGGGAAAACACTGGCATCTACCACTCATACAGCAGTAAGGATTATATATTTATTGTGGAGAAAGGAACATGATAGGGAGCAGCGCTATCAAGACTCTCTGAATCACACTATGCCAACAAATTTCAAGATGGAGCCACACCAAAAAAGAAGTCAGATTACTAGTGGGTTTTTTCCTGTGGGGATTTTTAAAGAACAGCAACATATCTGCATGCTAGTAATTAAAGGTTCCTTGATGTGCCAAGCTGGTCTTTCATGTCTCCATTTCAGAAGTCCAATGTAAGCTTTCTTCTTTCAGCATCGAGGGAAGAAACGGGGCTTCTGAGAATGGAAATCTCTTGTCTTCAGGAACAGTCTTAGAAGATTGGAGCCATATAGACTACCTCAGTAGCTTGTTGGATTACCAGGCTCAGTTTCACTGTGTTTGAGAACAGAACAGCAGAGTCTGTCTCTGAAAGACTGTACCAAAAAGGGACAGAAAGAGAGCCTTAATCTTAGTAAAGTCACATGTTAATGAAGTGGAAAGTGAGAGGGATTTCAGGTGAAGAGCAGGTAATAGGTGTAGCTTTGGAGATGGAAAGGTAATTGGGAGAACTGCAAGTGAGAGACTGACCAAGAGCTGAAGAAATGTGCAGGGCGGTCATTGTGTTTTAATGCTGACTCTTTTTCCTTCTTCTGATTCCTGTTGAAAGAAACTCTGTGCAGTTTGACCTTTCGCTTCCCTCTGTGACGTCCAGACCCCCATCCAGTCCTTATGCCACAGCAGGCTCCACTCATGCCCTGTCCTTTTCACTTCTGACTGTCCCCAGTGCTATCAGGTGTCAAAGACTGTGACTGAAAAGAAATCCACACAGACAACTTAATAACTGAGGGCAGAGGGTCCGGCTTTTTCAGGAACTTGGTGTTATTTCCAACTTTGACGTTCTAAGTTAAGGAGAAATACTGTATGTTTCGCTTTCAGAAACTAAAACTATAAGTTACAGCAGCATGAAGGAAACCTAATAGCATTTATATGTGAGGAATCTGAGTGTGCTTGGGCATGAGGTTTCCTGCGGGTGTGGTAACAAGTGTTGTAGCTTCTTTGATAAGAAATTAAAGACATGGGCAAAACCCTTTTGATTACACTGCATACTTTCAGTTTGCTGTATGCTCCCTGTCAATTGGTATTTGAAGCTCACCTTTAGGATATAAAATTAATTATTATCACAGTCAATCAGCACCCTTGGTTTATGACTGATTGAAATGATATGTTAGTATTTTTGCAGTGCTTTTTATGGTTCAGATTGACTCTTATTTATTATACTGTGTTCATTGAGTTATATAAATGCTTTCAGTATCTATTACAGACTATTGATATATTAGTTGAGGCTATCTTTGAAGATTATTGTTTGATCATTGCTAGGAGACTCATTAGCTTTGATCTAATGTTTAAATACAAAATTATAGTTAGATTTTTTTTCTTACTGGAGAGACAGAATGAAAAAATATACCATTTTTAAGCTGAGAATTTCCTCTGAACATGAGATCTAAATGGTAACATTTATAGCACAGAGAGAGGTACATATGAAGTTGTTTCTGTCTTACTATTTTACCTACGTATTATTGAAAGCACAGAAAAATTCAGTGGCTCATCCATGTGGATATCATCATATGCTTAAATGACTTCAAGTACAAGATTCAAGAAAAGCACATATTCAGACACCTTTTTTTCACTCTTCAATCTGCATTCTGCAACTTTGTCATGGAATTTTCCAGCAGTGAATAAAACTCTTCGACAAATGCAAAAAGGGAAACAATGCAATAATTAAAAGGTAGATCACATTAATGGATGCTTTAAAATAAAAAAGATACATATTAACAGCACGCGATTTACATATGAACGTGTTATTTCCTAATATTTTTGTATTTATATTCATTGCTTAGTCCCTGTAATAATAAAGACCTGATCACTTTTTCTTCCTAAAAAATTATTTAACATCTGACTGTTGCCCACAATTATTTGGCACAATTTTATTAATCTCTGGTCAATTATTTTGGACAGGTGGCCAGGAAGAGATTAAAAAGAGCTATTCTGTTCAGATAGTTATGATGTATATAACAGCAAGTAGTATAATGGTTTAATTTAATTTTTCACTTAGCTTTCAGTGTTTTAGAAACAGAAGTTGCTTTTAATTCAGAATAAAATATTTTTATTTCCTATAAGCAAAAATCTCCACCATTTTTGCAAGGTCATTTATACTGCATGCATGTGCAGAGAGCATGCTGCACTTGGGATAGAGCTCAAGTGGAATTCAGGAATTGTGATTACTAGCTCTACTCCTTGTTTGCTCAGTGACCTTGGATAACTGTTCAATATTTTGTGGTATGGCTTCCTCACTGGTAGAATGAGACAAGAATACCTATCTCCCTGGGGTGTTCTGAGATGTAGTTAATTGCCTGAGCAGTAAGAGAAAAGCGATATAGATGTGCTGAACAGAAGACCCAATAGAAACCAGACATATTGCTTTAAAGCGAGAACACTGAAAATTAGAATGCTTTTCTTTGGATAATTCAATTTGTGCTGTATTTCTAGTAAGCCTCCAAACTTCTCCCTCCATGAAAAGATGGATGGAGACAAAGTACTAAGCAGTGGATGGAAAATTTGCCCTACACAAGCTAATGACTGAAGCTCAACTAACATTGACAAAGCAAATGTTTCACCCCATAAATCCACACGGAAAAGACAGCGGCAGTCTTCTTGTGTCATAATTGGACAGGTATATATTATTTTAGACAAAAATTCAAGAACAAGTATTTGTCTTTTTTCTTTTTTTAAGGAGAGCATCCACTTATTTTTTTCACTCTTCAGGTCTCTTCTTGCTTGTCTGCAAACCTTGAAAAATACACAGGATTTTCTGA